CGAGGCTGCCGCAGGCCTCAGGCCCCCACCCAGGCGTGTTTTCCTTCCCCGCTCTTCAAGGAGGCGAGAAGCGTTCACTCCACGCTCCACGGAAAGCCTCACGAGCACCACGCCTCGGCCTGAGGCGCAGTCCACGCCGTCGTAACTGTAACGGCGGACACGCTTAGGCAGAAGACCTCCCGCCCACATTCCGTGCTGAGGGAAATTACATTTCTGTCGTTCGGGCTGTAACCTTCTCACGCGGTGATTCTGCAGGGTGTCGCCGACCAACATAAACCCACGAGTCAGATGCCACTAATCAGAAGATGCCACTCGGTGTCCTCAGCACCCCTCTCCCTGCCTCGGCCTCAGGATCTCCATTCACTGAGGCTCCGCATTATCCACAACTTAACTCACGAGGAAACTGCTGGTGTCGAGGCCAAGCTCCGTATCTTCCTTAATAACAAACAAAACTGGAAGAACACGCGACAAGTCCCCTAACGGCAGGGGCTCCAGGTGCCTGGGTAAATGCCTCCCCCATCTTCCATGGAGAAGCCATTTCACGTTTTTCAAAGGGCTGAGCACACCTGCAAACCCTCTGAGGGAGCTGCGCTGCGGACGGGCGAGGCGGGAAGGGGCGAGTCATCTCAGCGGGGAGCATTCTGTGCTCCACAGAATAAAGGTCTGTGCCTGGTGGAAATTTTTCCTCTCTCTCCACGTCTCTCTGGTCATTCAGTTCAAAGTCCTTAGACAACAAACGGCCCATTTGAGCATATGGTAAAAAACAGTTTCCCTTTTTCACGGTGCACATGGGTTTACGGCGTCTATGACTTAATATCCGGACTGCATTCTAGGACCGCAGGCCTGAATCACATCTCCGAGGAAGGCCTGGGCTGGTGGCTCAGCCCTGTTATCTCAGAAAGACGGTTATGTCTAAATGCCTTCTTGGGTCATGTATGTAGACCCCACATATTGAACAGAATTCAGCATCCCCACATATTAAAACAGAACCACCTGCCCGGCAGGCGTGGCTCAGTGGTTGAGCATCTTCATGTGCACCCAGAGGTCATGGGTTCAATTTCCTGGTCAGAGCACATGCCCGGGTTTCGGGCTCAATCCCCACCCAGCAGGGGTGTGCAGGAGGCAGCCACTGGATGTTCCTCTCTCTCCCTCTCTCTACAAAAAAAAAAAAAAAAAAAAAA